TAACTTACTGTATATTAATAGGGTATAGTTCTTCTTGGCATATTAGATACTATATTTAATGGAGATTCGAATGGTATATCGTAACCCAATTCGCGATGATTACTTCATTGAACAAATCCACTTTGAAAATATCAGTCAAAAAAAAATAACTCAAAATTATTTATCCATAAATAACTTACTGTATATTAATAGGGTATAGTTCTTCTTGGCATATTAGATACTATATTTAATGGAGATTCGAATGGTATATCGTAACCCAATTCGCGATGATTACTTCATTGGGCAAATCCACTTTGAAAATATCAGTCAAAAAAAATAAATCAAAATAATTAATCCATAAATAACTTACTGTATATTAATAGGGTATAGTTCGTCTTGGCATATTAGATACTATATTTAATGGAGATTCGAATGGTATATCGTAACCCAATTCGCGATGATTACTTCATTGGGCAAATCCACTTTGAAAATATCAGTCAAAAAAAATAAATCAAAATAATTAATCCATAAATAACTTACTGTATATTAATAGGGTATAGTTCGTCTTGGCATATTAGATACTATATTTAATGGAGATTCGAATGGTATATCGTAACCCAATTCGCGATGATTACTTCATTGGGCAAATCCACTTTGAAAATATCAGTCAAAAAAATAAATCAAAATAATTAATCCATAAATAACTTACTGTATATTAATAGGGTATAGTTCGTCTTGGCATATTAGATACTATATTTAATGGAGATTCGAATGGTATATCGTAACCCAATTCGCGATTATTACTTCATTGGGCAAATCCACTTTGATAATATCAGTCAAAAAAAATAAATCAAAATAATTAATCCATAAATAACTTACTGTATATTAATAGGGTATAGTTCGTCTTGGCATATTAGATACTATATTTAATGGAGATTCGAATGGTATATCGTAACCCAATTCGCGATGATTACTTCATTGGGCAAATCCACTTTGAAAATATCAGTCAAAAAAAATAAATCAAAATAATTAATCCATAAATAACTTACTGTATATTAATAGGGTATAGTTCGTCTTGGCATATTAGATACTATATTTAATGGAGATTCGAATGGTATATCGTAACCCAATTCGCGATGATTACTTCATTGGGCAAATCCACTTTGAAAATATCAGTCAAAAAAAAATGAATCAAAATAAACAATCCATAAATAACTTACTGTATATTAATAGGGTATAGTTCGTCTTGGCATATTAGATACTATATTTAATGGAGATTCGAATGGTATATCGTAACCCAATTCGCGATGATTACTTCATTGGGCAAATCCACTTTGAAAATATCAGTCAAAAAAATAAATCAAAATAATTAATCCATAAATAACTTACTGTATATTAATAGGGTATAGTTCGTCTTGGCATATTAGATACTATATTTAATGGAGATTCGAATGGTATATCGTAACCCAATTCGCGATGATTACTTCACTGGGCAAATCCACTTTGAAAATATCAGTCAAAAAAAATAAATCAAAATAAACAATCCATAAATAACTTACTGTATATTAATAGGGTATAGTTCGTCTTGGCATATTAGATACTATATTTAATGGAGATCGAATGGTATATCGAAACCCAATTCGCAATGATTACTTCATTGGGCAAATCCACTTTGAAAATATCAGTCAAAAAAAATAAATCAAAATAATTAATCCATAAATAACTTACTGTATATTAATAGGGTATAGTTCTTCTTGGCATATTAGATACTATATTTAATGGAGATTCGAATGGTATATCGTAACCCAATTCGCGATGATTACTTCATTGAACAAATCCACTTTGAAAATATCAGTCAAAAAAAAATAACTCAAAATTATTTATCCATAAATAACTTACTGTATATTAATAGGGTATAGTTCGTCTTGGCATATTAGATACTATATTTAATGGAGATCGAATGGTATATCGTAACCCAATTCGCGATGATTACTTCACTGGGCAAATCCACTTTGAAAATATCAGTCAAAAAAAATAACTCAAAATTATTTATCCATAAATAACTTACTGTATATTAATAGGGTATAGTTCTTCTTCGTATATTAGATACTATATTTAGTGGTGATTCGAATGGTATATCGTAACCCAATTCGCGATGATTACTTCACTGGGCAAATCCACTTTGAAAATATCAGTCAAAAAAAATAACTCAAAATTATTTATCCATAAATAACTTACTGTATATTAATAGGGTATAGTTCGTCTTGGCATATTAGATACTATATTTAATGGAGATTCGAATGGTATATCGAAACCCAATTCGCAATGATTACTTCATTGGGCAAATCCACTTTGAAAATATCAGTCAAAAAAAAATGAATCAAAATAAACAATCCATAAATAACTTACTGTATATTAATAGGGTATAGTTCGTCTTGGCATATTAGATACTATATTTAATGGAGATTCGAATGGTATATCGTAACCCAATTCGCGATGATTACTTCATCGGGCAAATCCACTTTGAAAATATCAGTCAAAAAAAAAATGAATCAAAATAAACAATCCATAAATAACTTACTGTATATTAATAGGGTATAGTTCGTCTTGGCATATTAGATACTATATTTAATGGAGATTCGAATGGTATATCGTAACCCAATTCGCGATGATTACTTCATTGGGCAAATCCACTTTGAAAATATCAGTCAAAAAAATAAATCAAAATAATTAATCCATAAATAACTTACTGTATATTAATAGGGTATAGTTCGTCTTGGCATATTAGATACTATATTTAATGGAGATTCGAATGGTATATCGTAACCCAATTCGCGATGATTACTTCATCGGGCAAATCCACTTTGAAAATATCAGTCAAAAAAAAATAAATCAAAATAATTAATCCATAAATAACTTACTGTATATTAATAGGGTATAGTTCTTCTTGGCATATTAGATACTATATTTAATGGAGATTCGAATGGTATATCGTAACCCAATTCGCGATGATTACTTCATTGAACAAATCCACTTTGAAGATATCAGTCAAAAAAAAATAACTCAAAATTATTTATCCATAAATAACTTACTGTATATTAATAGGGTATAGTTCTTCTTCGTATATTAGATACTATATTTAGTGGTGATTCGAATGGTATATCGTAACCCAATTCGCGATGATTACTTCACTGGGCAAATCCACTTTGAAAATATCAGTCAAAAAAAATAACTCAAAATTATTTATCCATAAATAACTTACTGTATATTAATAGGGTATAGTTCGTCTTGGCATATTAGATACTATATTTAATGGAGATTCGAATGGTATATCGAAACCCAATTCGCAATGATTACTTCATTGGGCAAATCCACTTTGAAAATATCAGTCAAAAAAAATAAATCAAAATAAACAATCCATAAATAACTTACTGTATATTAATAGGGTATAGTTCGTCTTGGCATATTAGATACTATATTTAATGGAGATCGAATGGTATATCGTAACCCAATTCGCGATGATTACTTCATCGGGCAAATCCACTTTGAAAATATCAGTCAAAAAAATAAATCAAAATAAACAATCCATAAATAACTTACTGTATATTAATAAGGTATAGTTCGTCTTGGCATATTAGATACTATATTTAATGGAGATCGAATGGTATATCGTAACCCAATTCGCGATGATTACTTCATTGGGCAAATCCACTTTGAAAATATCAGTCAAAAAAAATAAATCAAAATTATTTATCCATAAATAACTTACTGTATATTAATAGGGTATAGTTCGCTTGGCATATTAGATACTATATTTAATGGAGATTCGAATGGTATATCGAAACCCAATTCGCAATGATTACTTCATTGGGCAAATCCACTTTGAAAATATCAGTCAAAAAAAATAAATCAAAATAAACAATCCATAAATAACTTACTGTATATTAATAGGGTATAGTTCGTCTTGGCATATTAGATACTATATTTAATGGAGATTCGAATGGTATATCGTAACCCAATTCGCGATGATTACTTCATCGGGCAAATCCACTTTGAAAATATCAGTCAAAAAAATAAATCAAAATAAACAATCCATAAATAACTTACTGTATATTAATAAGGTATAGTTCGTCTTGGCATATTAGATACTATATTTAATGGAGATCGAATGGTATATCGTAACCCAATTCGCGATGATTACTTCATTGGTGTTATGTACGTGACTTCTACGTCTACGTACTAACAAGAATAACAAGATAAGACAGTAACTAACGACTGTGTTTTATCTAATAGACTAAATACAATACTAACGAACAATAGGAATATGGCCGACGCCGAATATGTGGAGCACTAGAATAGAATAACAGAATAGAATAACGACTAACAGACACTCACCCCCGAATGGCTAAAGCCGTAGCCTTTTATACTTAGCACATACCCAACATCTCCCTCCTTTAAAAAGAATGAATTATCTCTGAATCTGTCATGGGTGTGCTCGAATATTTACTCCAACAGAAAAAAATACATACAAAGGGCCAAAATTACAAAACAAAAAAAAACAAAGGGTGGAAAAACAAACAACAAAAGAAAATTTACAATATTATCACATTTATTTTCCCCAAATCATCTTATGCACCCAAGACTTCTTTTCTTCTTTGGCCTCTGTGCCAGCGCGCGGATCCTGCTTCGTCTCTGCTGCGCTCTTCGAATTGTACCTGGAATTTTCAAGAATTTGACTTCGAATTGAACTTTCTCTAGTTCTTAGACTGGCCCTCGAATCTGTCGAATCTAAATAACTTCCTTTTGAATGAATCGAATCTGGCTTTCTTAACTGCCATTTTTCTCTACTGACTACGGTTTTCAGCCAAGGGACTTCGACTTTATAATCATCTCCGAATTTACTAAGAATTGTCCCTGGCAACCAGACTGTTTTGCCATTTCTGTTTTTGTTCCATACAAAGACTTTCATGTCTTCTCTGAATAGAATAGAATTTCGCGAATAATTCGACTTTCCCGAATAATTAGAATCTTTCGAATAACTTTTTCGAATTTTGACTTTCTTTACTTTTATTACCTTTCCGAATTTTTGGCTTTCTGCCTTGAATAATACTACTACGACTATTTTGACTAGAATCTAACTCCGGAATTTCTACCGTCAGACAATGTGGTCTTGAATAACTAGAATCTACTTTCACATGATTGACTTCTGGACCTTTGCCTTGGCTCAACCTTTTCTTTGGTTTCCGGCAGTCTCTACTAATATGTCCAATCATGCCACACTTGTAACACTGACGTGAATCTCGAATATTGAATTGGCCTTTTCGTTGCCCTGAATTATTTCTCAAATTTCCGAATTGACTACTCTGAATATGTTCGACTCGACTAACATTATTTACATAATTATCAGGTTCTTTCTTGACCTTTGAATGACTGTCGAACGTTTTGTCTTTATCCTTCTTTTCGGAATAACCGCAACATTCTTCTAATAGAATCATCAGACTACACTCGTCTGGCCTCGAATAACGCTCCACGAATTTACGACTAATCTCTCGCATATCTTTCATTTCTTCCGGAATAGCTGCAACGAATGCTAGAATCCTGACTTCTTCGAATAGCGATTGTAATTTATCATACAATTCCGCTGACTCTTTTTCGTTTGAATCTCCGAATTTAGGATTAATCTCACACAATCCTTTGAATAGTAGAATAAACTGTTGACTAATATGCTCCGTCTGAGCTTTGAAAATCTTCACAAACTTTTCATCTATCATCTTGAATTGAATAACTTGAATACTGAATTACTGAATCACGAATTACTGAATACAGAATTGAATATCCGAATACGACTATCCGAATAAAACTTGTCCGAATACAACTGTTCGAATACAATTGTCGACCGCGCCACTGTTATGTACGTGACTTCTACGTCTACGTACTAACAAGAATAACAAGATAAGACAGTAACTAACGACTGTGTTTTATCTACAAGACTAAATACAATACTAACGAACAATAGGAATATGGCCGACGCCGAATATGTGGAGCACTAGAATAGAATAACAGAATAGAATAACGACTAACAGACACTCACCCCCGAATGGCTAAAGCCGTAGCCTTTTATACTAAGCACATACCCAACAATTGGGCAAATCCACTTTGAAAATATCAGTCAAAAAAAATAAATCAAAATAATTAATCCATAAATAACTTACTGTAAAACAAAAATTTTTTCAAAAATCTTATCGTATATAGCCAATCGATAACTCATATGAAAGTACATTAAAAGTAGTTACTAAAAATGTGGAATCGAATTAATATACTTTCAATACCCCAAAGTTATAATCCCTGGAAGAAAAACCCCTAAATTAATTTTTTAAAATATTGGGGTAAAACAAAAAATTTTTCAAAAATCTTATCGTATATAGCCAATCGATATCTCATATGAAAGTACATTAAAAGTAGTTACTAAAAATGTGGAATCGAATTAATATACTTTCAATACCCCAAAGTTATAATCCCTGGAAGAAAAACCCCTAATTAATTTTTTAAAATATTGGGGTAAAACAAAAATTTTTTCAAAAATCTCATATGAAAGTACATTAAAAGTAGTTACTAAAAATGTGGAATCGAATTAATATACTTTCAATACCCCAAAGTTATGATCCCTGGAAGAAAAACCCCTAAATTAATTTTTTAAAATATTGGGGTAAAACAAAAATTTTTTCAAAAATCTTATCGTATATAGCCAATCGATAGCTCATATGAAAGTAGATTAAAAGTAGTTACTAAAGATGTGGAATCGAATTAATATACTTTCAATACCCCAAAGTTATAATCCCTGGAAGAAAAACCCCTAAATTAATTTTTTAAAATATTGGGGTAAAACAAAAAATTTTTCAAAAATCTTATCGTATATAGCCAATCGATAGCTCATATGAAAGTACATTAAAAGTAGTTACTAAAAATGTGGAATCGAATTAATATACTTTCAATACCCCAAAGTTATAATCCCTGGAAGAAAAACCCCTAAATTAATTTTTTAAAATATTGGGGTAAAACAAAAAATTTTTCAAAAATCTTATCGTATATAGCCAATCGATAGCTCATATGAAAGTACATTAAAAGTAGTTACTAAAAATGTGGAATCGAATTAATATACTTTCAATACCCCAAAGTTATAATCCCTGGAAGAAAAACCCCTAAATTAATTTTTTAAAATATTGGGGTAAAACAAAAAATTTTTCAAAAATCTTATCGTATATAGCCAATCGATAGCTCATATGAAAGTACATTAAAAGTAGTTACTAAAAATGTGGAATCGAATTAATATACTTTCAATACCCCAAAGTTATAATCCCTGGAAGAAAAACCCCTAAATTAATTTTTTAAAATATTGGGGTAAAACAAAAAATTTTTCAAAAATCTTATCGTATATAGCCAATCGATAGCTCATATGAAAGTACATTAAAAGTAGTTACTAAAAATGTGGAATCGAATTAATATACTTTCAATACCCCAAAGTTATAATCCCTGGAAGAAAAACCCCTAAATTAATTTTTTAAAATATTGGGGTAAAACAAAAAATTTTTCAAAAATCTTATCGTATATAGCCAATCGATAGCTCATATGAAAGTACATTAAAAGTAGTTACTAAAAATGTGGAATCGAATTAATATACTTTCAATACCCCAAAGTTATAATCCCTGGAAGAAAAACCCCTAAATTAATTTTTTAAAATATTGGGGTAAAACAAAAAATTTTTCAAAAATCTTATCGTATATAGCCAATCGATAGCTCATATGAAAGTACATTAAAAGTAGTTACTAAAAATGTGGAATCGAATTAATATACTTTCAATACCCCAAAGTTATAATCCCTGGAAGAAAAACCCCTAAATTAATTTTTTAAAATATTGGGGTAAAACAAAAAATTTTTCAAAAATCTTATCGTATATAGCCAATCGATAGCTCATATGAAAGTACATTAAAAGTAGTTACTAAAAATGTGGAATCGAATTAATATACTTTCAATACCCCAAAGTTATAATCCCTGGAAGAAAAACCCCTAAATTAATTTTTTAAAATATTGGGGTAAAACAAAAAATTTTTCAAAAATCTTATCGTATATAGCCAATCGATAGCTCATATGAAAGTACATTAAAAGTAGTTACTAAAAATGTGGAATCGAATTAATATACTTTCAATACCCCAAAGTTATAATCCCTGGAAGAAAAACCCCTAAATTAATTTTTTAAAATATTGGGGTAAAACAAAAAATTTTTCAAAAATCTTATCGTATATAGCCAATCGATAGCTCATATGAAAGTACATTAAAAGTAGTTACTAAAAATGTGGAATCGAATTAATATACTTTCAATACCCCAAAGTTATAATCCTTGGAAGAAAAACCCTAAATTAATTTTTTAAAATATTGGGGTAAAACAAAAAATTTTTCAAAAATCTTATCGTATATAGCCAATCGATAGCTCATATGAAAGTACATTAAAAGTAGTTACTAAAAATGTGGAATTGAATTAATATACTTTCAATACCCCAAAGTTATAATCCCTGGAAGAAAAACCCCTGAATTAATTTTTTAAAATATTGGGGTAAAACAAAAAATTTTTCAAAAATCTTATCGTATATAGCCAATCGATAGCTCATATGAAAGTACATTAAAAGTAGTTACTAAAAATGTGGAATCGAATTAATATACTTTCAATACCCCAAAGTTATAATCCCTGGAAGAAAAACCCCTAAATTAATGTTTTAAAATATTGGGGTAAAACAAAAAATTTTTCAAAAATCTTATCGTATATAGCCAATCGATAGCTCATATGAAAGTACATTAAAAGTAGTTACTAAAAATGTGGAATCGAATTAATATACTTTCAATACCCCAAAGTTATAATCCCTGGAAGAAAAACCCCTAAATTAATTTTTTAAAATATTGGGGTAAAACAAAAAATTTTTCAAAAATCTTATCGTATATAGCCAATCGATAGCTCATATGAAAGTACATTAAAAGTAGTTACTAAAAATGTGGAATCGAATTAATATACTTTCAATACCCCAAAGTTATAATCCCTGGAAGCAAAACCCCTAAATTAATTTTTTAAAATATTGGGGTAAAACAAAAAATTTTTCAAAAATCTTATCGTATATAGCCAATCGATAGCTCATATGAAAGTACATTAAAAGTAGTTACTAAAAATGTGGAATCGAATTAATATACTTTCAATACCCCAAAGTTATAATCCCTGGAAGAAAAACCCCTAAATTAATTTTTTAAAATATTGGGGTAAAACAAAAAATTTTTCAAAAATCTTATCGTATATAGCCAATCGATAGCTCATATGAAAGTACATTAAAAGTAGTTACTAAAAATGTGGAATTGAATTAATATACTTTCAATACCCCAAAGTTATAATCCCTGGAAGAAAAACCCCTGAATTAATTTTTTAAAATATTGGGGTAAAACAAAAAATTTTTCAAAAATCTTATCGTATATAGCCAATCGATAGCTCATATGAAAGTACATTAAAAGTAGTTACTAAAAATGTGGAATCGAATTAATATACTTTCAATACCCCAAAGTTATAATCCCTGGAAGAAAAACCCCTAAATTAATTTTTTAAAATATTGGGGTAAAACAAAAAATTTTTCAAAAATCTTATCGTATATAGCCAATCGATAGCTCATATGAAAGTACATTAAAAGTAGTTACTAAAAATGTGGAATCGAATTAATATACTTTCAATACCCCAAAGTTATAATCCCTGGAAGAAAAACCCCTAAATTAATTTTTTAAAATATTGGGGTAAAACAAAAAATTTTTCAAAAATCTTATCGTATATAGCCAATCGATAGCTCATATGAAAGTACATTAAAAGTAGTTACTAAAAATGTGGAATCGAATTAATATACTTTCAATACCCCAAAGTTATAATCCCTGGAAGAAAAACCCCTAAATTAATTTTTTAAAATATTGGGGTAAAACAAAAAATTTTTCAAAAATCTTATCGTATATAGCCAATCGATAGCTCATATGAAAGTACATTAAAAGTAGTTACTAAAAATGTGGAATTGAATTAATATACTTTCAATACCCCAAAGTTATAATCCCTGGAAGAAAAACCCCTGAATTAATTTTTTAAAATATTGGGGTAAAACAAAAAATTTTTCAAAAATCTTATCGTATATAGCCAATCGATAGCTCATATGAAAGTACATTAAAAGTAGTTACTAAAAATGTGGAATCGAATTAATATACT